GGGCCTCGCTCCCCTCCTGCAGCGTGACTCAGCCCTGCAGCCCCCACAGAGCTTTTGTTCCCTCCCCCCTACGGCTGAGCCTTCCCCCAGGCACCCTCGCCATGGGGAAAGAGGTTGCTCCTGGGAAGTCGCTGCTCCCGGCGTCGCTGGCGAGGACCAAGGCCAGCCTGCAAGCTGTCCAACTCACTCCCTGCTCACTCGCTCACCCTGCACGGCCGCCCTGCCCCTGGTTAGGGAGTGGGCTGCCAGCAGAGCAAAGACCTGGATCGGAGTGGGCTTGGGCAGCTCCTTGCCCTCTCCTGCACCCCCTTATGGGGTCTGCCCTGGGGCCAAGGCTCAGCCCTGCAGTGGGACCAGCATGCAGGCTGGCAAGACTGCCAGGGCTTAGTTGGATCTTGCTGTTTCTCACTCCATTTTTTTTGGTCCCTGGGGGATATTTCTTTGCCATGCTGAGGAGGGGGATGGCCAGGCCACTGCCAGGTCACCCCATGCAAGCAGGAAGGTGTCTTCCCTGTAGGCTCTGAGACAGCCCATGGCTCATCCCACAGGCTGAGCCAGGATGGCCCCTCTGCTCCCAGACCACAGGCCTGGGGCAGTTAGCAGCCAGGGAAGGGAAAGGAAGCCCTCACAGTGTGGTGAGGGGCAGGTTTCTTTCCAACCCAAAGCTGTTTTATGAGCAGCAGTAAGGTACCCAGAGATATTGGCTGGCCATGGGTGATTTACAGAGCTGTGAATGGGCCTGGAGAGCCCTGCCAGGCACAGAACCCTGTGGGATGCACAGACCCTTGCTCTGCCATGGGCTCTTCCAGCCGGGCATGGGTGAGCTGCTGCCTCGAGCACTGGCCAGGGAGCAGGGCAGAGCACCTCCAGAAGGGAGGTGCTGCAGGAGGGGCTTGGGGAGCCAGGGTGCGAGCCCACAGCCCTGGCTCCTGCTGCCAGGATGCTGGGAAGGGGCTCTCTGCGTCACACCCCTGCGGCAGGTTTGCTAGTGCTCTCTGCACTGTGACATTTCCACTGCAGCCCAACTCTGACGCTGGGTGCAAATCCTAAGTGTGGCTGGTAGGTAACGCTTATGGGGGGACAGACAAACCAGGAGCAGGTACAGGAAGGAGGGAAAAGTCGGCTGGGATGCTTTTCTCTTGCTGATAGCTGCACTGAAAGCAGCCTGGGGAAGAAAGTGGATATATATACAGCAGGACACCTCCCAAGAGCACCAGTACAGCAGCTCCCTGGTGTCTCAGCACTTCTTGTCAAAGAGGAGAGAGGAAAGTCACTAGGTACGTTCTGTCCTCCCACAAGGGCTCTTTGTGTGCTGAAGAAAACCTCTTTAGCGGAGAAGATTGACGAGCAGAGGATTTTACCCATGCTATTTGTGTGACAAACCCTGCCGCTGCCATACAGGCAATATGTTCTAATTTTGCATGCAGGTGTCTGGCCTCTTAGGCACCAGAAAAATAAAGAAGCCATAATGGGGTATATCACCCTGTAAGAGGGGGAGATGAAGGATTGATGAGCTTTCTGCATCTCTTTCTGTCCCAGTGTCTCGGCAGGAGATTTCATGTTCCCAAAGAGAACACACTTACCTTGGCCTTCAGTTGGAAGCTATTAGAGCTGCCTGATTTTCTGGCTTCTACAACAGCAGGAAGATGCTAGCTGGGGACAGGGTGGCTCAGAGGTCTGTCCTGTCCTCCTTGTGCCTGGGATATACTGGGGATCCAGGTGGGCAAGGGCTTTTCCAGCTCCCTGAGCACATGGGACAGCACAATGACAGCTCAGGGCTGCAATATGGACCCCTTCCTAGTAACTGGTGTTTCTCGGTGAGTAAATATCTATGAGTGTATAGTCTTCCCCTCCAGGCACAAGAAGAGAGACTTGCTCACTTGTACGGCCCATGTCAGCATCCAGGTTCAAAATCCAAACTTTGTAGGCTTGTATGCTTGGTCACTGCCTGGCCAGGGATCTCATCATCATGAACAAGCCTTCAAAAGCACCCGTGAGCCAGGTGTTAGGAGCTGTCATCACTGCTTGACAACCTGCATTGCCATGACTGGCTGTAGCTCTGCGCTCTGGTGTCCCCAAAAGATGTTCAAAGGCAAAAAGCAGAACCAAACCATGCCTATTTGATGATGGACTTATGTGAAAACTGGTAGCACTACCAGGCGCAATCCCAAACGTTAACACCAAGATGGAATAGGCCGGACTTAGAGAGCAGAGAGGATCTACACAGAACTCCAACAGCACACATCCTTTTATAGATAATAGATGTACCAGTTATGCTCTTCCCATAGACCACCAGAGGCCCACTCTGCAGCACTGGGCTGCAAAGTTAATTCTGTTTTTTGTTTGTTTGTTTTTTGAGTTAGCTTGGTAACAGAAAGCAGTGTGGAATAATTTGTCTCTGAAGAATGAAGCCTGTGTTCCGTTAGCACCCTTTTTGTCTGGGACTTGTACGTATCGACAGTGCACAAGCTTGTTACATAAATGGGGAAAAAAACCCAGCTTGTAGTGGCAGAGTTTATGTCTATGGGCATTTGGAGCAGACTGAGCGTAACTGAGTGAAGCTGAAGGTGACTTGTCAAGAAGGTGCCCTCTTACTTTGCTAATTCACTTGTTCTGCTCTAATTAGCCGCTGTAGCCAAAGTGGGAGGTGTGATTGACTGGCCGCATTTTGGGAGGCCTTGCAGGGATTAAAGATCCTAATGTGACTGTTTGGAGCAGCACAGAGAATTATCCAGAAGGCTGCGGAGTCAGGATTTGTCAAGATGAAGGGAAGTTTGCTCCTGATGGGTGGGGGCTCTGGTTTCTAGAGCCACGGGAGTGTTAAAAGGGCAGAAGCCTGAGAACATGTCCTTTCGAGAACTCTCCCCTCACATTGATTTCCCTTGACATTTCCAAGTGCGCGCAAGGGAAGAAATTCCCTTGACATTTCCAAGCAAGTGCAAGGGAAGAAGGCTAAAATCTCCCGCAAGTGATGTCTGAAAGAGTTCACAGACCTGGGCGGAATGAAGGCAGGGGCCCTGCCCTCGGACAAAATCTGGCAAATGCACAGAAACCATGGCATACAGTGGGCAAAGGTGGCTCAGCTCTAACACAAGGCTAGGAGGCTGCTAAGATGGTACAGGAAAAACGTCAGATTCTCTACTTAGAACTAGCTCAGTCCTGCAGAAAAACCTGCCTCTCAGAGAGGATCCAAGTGGGACATGGAACTGCCTCCATGACCCGCCTCGGGTGCAGCACCTGCATACAGGTGTGCTGTGAACACAGCTCCAGCCCAGGGCACAAGCTGCAGGGAAAGGCAGGCAAGAAAGACTCCTTGTGTCTGCAGGGTTGGGGAAGGGAAGGGAGCTGTGCAGGAGCTCAGCAAACACTCTGTCAGATTAACCAGCCATGAAGCCTGCATCAAATCCAAGCCTGACAGTAAAAGGGAGCTCTTCCCTCTCCCAAGCCATTTTTCAGCCGTCCTGTCATACATGGGCGGCATCAGATTAATACTTCACTCATCCCTACTGAAAAAATCATAATCCCCAGAAAGAGATCGTTGCACTCATCCTCATATCCCCTCCTTTGGCAAAGCAGCCTCCCTGCTGAGGTTGCATAAGCAGAACTGCCACAGGCAGAGGCAGAAGACAGAGCCCCTTTTAGCTTCTCCAAGACCCCACTGCCTCTTGATTTGGCTCCCTTCCAACTGTGGAGGCGCTAACTGCAAGAGCAGTTGTTTCAGGCCCCAAATCTTAACGAATGCACTTGGAGCTTGCTTGAAAATGAAGGTACCAGCTCCCCATTGCCTGTGTGCCACACAAAATCAGGATGCAACCTATCATTTTTTTGCCAGTGTAATAGGTTATCAGATGTAGAGGTTAACAGACAGCCAAGCCTCAAGTCTTTACCAGAGTGCAGTTGTTCTGTTCTACATTTAAGTCAGATCTTTAAATAGTAATTCAAAGGAGATGGCACCAGAGTCTAGCACTACTAGCACTGCCTTTGCCACACGGACTCCACCACGGCACAGCACAGATGCCCATTGCATCTTATTGCAATAAGATGCTCATTGCATCTTATTGACTTGCTCAGAACTGCAATAGGAGTCACAGCACAAGTCTCCAATTGCTTCTATCCAAGAGCGCTGTGCATGAGGCCGCACTGCTGAAGCAATCCTGCACGTGACTAGAGGATGGGGTGGGCAGAGAGCACCACGTGGGGAACTGTGCAGGTGCACAGGACAACCATGCCCAAACAAACGGACCCGTCAACCCAAGGCTGATGCTGCATCTTTTTATTTTTGTTTTTTTTTTTTTTTGCTTCTCTAAAGCGAATGCAGAGCAAGTGATAGGAGGAGGGGGAAAAGTGTCTTGAAAACAAAACAAAAAAAAAAAATGGAGGAAAGAGGCAGCTGCTGGAGTATAGGGGGAAGCTGAGCTGCTAGAAAGTTCATAGATGCAAAGCCCGCACTAATTCTTAATAAAATACAATACTGAAAATAGGATCTGAGAGTCTCCAAAATACAATATCTTAAGGGATTGGCAATAATACAAAATAAGGTTCACTATGTACAAATGAGTTCTGCTCTTGGTCTCTGTACAACGGCGTGAGCGGGAGGCATGGGTCATGCTCCGTGGAAGTGCCGGGGTGGAGGAGGCTGCGCTTGGGCCCCACAGTGGTTCTTGGTGCTGGGAGGGAGGAAGAAGATAGGGAACGTAGTGCTATCTGGTGACCAGTGGATCTGTGGGAACCTTGAGAGAGCAGAGCTGTGCTGAAGGCCTCACTCGTTCCCACCCCACTGGCCATGGTTTTTCTGGTTTCGGTTTTATTTATTTATTTATTTATTTAGCCATTTATGGTTTCGGTTAGATGTGCCCAAATTTGTCCCAAACGGCTTCAGGGGGGCAAAAACATTTTTCGAAGAGAGAAAAGAGCTCTGAAGGCTCTTGTTGTGGCTGTCCCTGTGTGAGAGCCACCCCACGCTGCCTGCCCAGGGAGCCCTCCTCTCTCCAGGCCTGAGGGGAGAGCAGGCCTGGCGGAGCAGCTGTGGTGATGTGGGTGGAGCGCAGGGTGTTTCAGGAGAAACCAGGCAAAGGGGAGTCTGCTGTGAGACCTGCCACCTACAAACATGGGGCAAAAGGCACGTCCGTGATCTCAGGTGCTTGTGTCCCACCTTGTCCTTCCAGCATAAGGCAATCAAGGAAACAGGAGTCAAGGGACGCTTGAATCTTTCAGCAGGGAGAAGGGGTAGAAATGGGTGACCGGGTGCTGAAGGGGGATGCTATTGGCTTGAGATGAGTTTGTTTCAGCACTGCACTCAACAAGTCTGGCCTGAAGGGTGGTACAGCAAGAGGCTGGAACATTTGGTGCCAGCACTTAAAAGGCCTAAAACAGTATTTGGTGACTAGCCAACTGCACCTCTTTTCTGACAGAAGCACCTGTCACCCGAGCTGCCCGCATGTCCTCAGTGGCTTTCACAGAACTGCTACATGCACAGAGGGTGTGAGGTGGATGATGGCTCCCAGTGACAGCCCTCCAAGAGCTGCAGAGCTCTTCTTGGTGGTTCCTAAAGAGGCCCTGTTTGCTCTGATGTATAATTGAGAATACAGAGCTGGCAGGGGAGCTGGTTACAGAAGCAGGTTTCTCCCACACAGAGAGGCCAGGCTGCAGAATGGACAGTAGGAAGGCCACTGATTTGGTTAGCACTGCACTGTAGGGCCCAAGCTGGGGACAGAAAGGGAAATATCACCCTAGTGCAGCAAGGGTGCTGAGGAAGGGAAGAAGTGGGTTGTGGGAGGAAATTGTTCTCTATTTCAGAGAGCTCTGGTTGCCCAGAAGCTGCCTGTTAATTTTCATGGTGGTTTATCTGAGTCTGGGATCTGTCTCCCCCACTCCGTTTGTGTGCAGATCTTTTCAGATAGTTGGTGTGGATGTTATGTAGGCACATCCATCATGAGCAAACTAGAGCAATAGGATCTAGGTTTTCTCTCAATGGAGGCATGAGCATATTAACAGATGGAGGGGAAGGAATGAGTTCAAACTCTCCAGAGTCCTCTCTCCTACCCCTGGCATCACCCACGGTAGTAAACCCAGCACTCACTCTCTCTCCTTCAGGTGCATCTGATGTAACCAAGGGAACATGCCTGTGGACAGTCTCCTTGGTTTGGGGGCTTTGGGAATGTGCTGAATAGTCTGGGGGCTTCCCTCTCACCTCCTTCCACTCCAGGATGAGCCCACACCCATAGGGTAGCGCTCCTTCAAGCCAGAGACAAGGCCAGGAGGAAGGGGTGTCTCAGGACTTTGCCAGTCTTTTATTGCTAGTTCTGGCAATCCCACAACTCCTCTCAAGAGAGATTAGTACTAAGGAGGCCATGGGGAAGAGGAGGAGCTGAACCCAAGGCCAGTTTAGGAGGGTCTGAATGCAGCGTCCTCTCCTGCCAAGTTCCCTCGGTTGCTCGATGAGGAGGGAATCCTGCAGTCAGACAGATGAGGCCTTGAGGTCCAGCAGCTGCTACAAATATTCAGCTGTCTCACTGGAGCTTGTCTCCCTGGAAAAAAAAAAAAAAAAAGACGCGGCATCAGTAAAAGTTGACTAAACCCCCCCGAGCATATTCCCTGCCATTGTGCCCAGCTGGTGCCCATCGGATCAGGATGGAGCCCTTTTTCAGGGCAGTGAATGACCAGCAAACCTGAGACCACCTGAGTCACCTAGTTCTCAGCTCTGTACCAGAGAGACATCACTTTATGAAGTCCCAGACTTTTGCTCTGGGAAACAAACTTGCTCTTATACCCGCAGCCAGCAGTGGCCTCCTCCAGCTATTAACTAGCTGCCTGCCTCAAGCAGCTCAGCTGTCTCTAGTTTTGAGCACAAGGGACATGTCTGGTGGTCTCTCCCAGGTATCACGATGTGGTATGGGGTGCTGAGGGTGTCCCCCACCTGCTTACCTCTCATGGAATTGCTCTTTGAGGTGAGTGAGAATTGGGTCAGTTTGGTTCTGGTCAGGACCCTCCAGCTGGGATTTGCTTAGATATTTGCTTGTCTCGTGTGTTCTGGCCAGATGAGGCCTTCGCTCTTCAGACTGCCCTTTTTCAGCCTCCCACCCCTCAGGATGGTCTATGGTTAGGAAGGAGCTATAGCTCTCTTCTAAGGAGCCAGCACCCTCATCATAGAACAGGAGGCTCCGCGACTGAACTGGAAACAAGGAGAGTGTGGGTTAACAGCAAGGACAAGGGCTCATGCACAGGGTGTGGGTCATGGTGGTGGTTAGCACATGCTCACCCAGCTACAGCCTAGTCCACGTGTGACTGTGCAGCAAGTCTGCTCTACTGGATGGATACCCCACTTCCCCCCAGTTTTGTGAGGCAAACGCTCCCCTGGACACACATGCTCTCCAGAAGACAGTCTACTCTGGGAATTTTCCTTTATGGTCTATCTATTAGTATCTGTCATGTTTTGGGACAATGACTAGGAGAGAATGAAAATAAGTCCAGACAAGTTGCTGCTATCAGGACTCATACCAAGAGGCCAGGAACCTCCCCCTGCCAGGTCCCCAGCAGACAGGGCTGGTGCTGAGGGGAAGATGCTCCCCATGAACACTGTGTGTCAGGAGAAGAGTCGGAAATGCTTTCAGAGGATTAATGGGAGGTGCTATGTTAGACTCACTCTTACTAGTTGTGTAAATGTCTGGTGCTGGTGTTGCTTTCACTGTCTGTGATGCTGAGGAGAACTCAGGGAGACAGGGCATCATGGATCCCAGGATCAGAACGAAACAGAGCGCCAGCACCTAGCAAGGAGGTATCAGAACACAGTCAGTACAGCCAGCCACAAGGAATGCACCCCCCAGCACACAAACAGGAGGCTGTGAGAGGCCATGTGGTCAGCTGGCAACTGGGTCACCCTGGTCCTCCTGGAAAGGAAAGGGTTTGTGCTGCTAATCTCTTCTGAAGATTTAAGAGGGCGAACTCGGAAGCTTTCTCCTCTTGCTTTCTCTGAAGCATTTCTGGTTCAACAGCAAGAACTTGCCCATCAGCTTATGAGAGATGGCAGAAGGAATAGCTGGGTAATAATCTGTGGAGGAGGGAGAAGGAGGCTCAATAAAAGAGCAGGGCTCTGTCTTGGCCAGAAAGGACCTACCCACTGGTACAAGAGGAGCTGAAGTGAACTGCAAGAAAAAAAAAGCTCATTAGGAAAAATCTGTGTGGTACCATAGCATAGAGCAAAGTGAAACTATTGTGTATGCTAGAACAGAAGTGACAGCAAAATTGCAGCAGTCCAACACCTGACAGCACAAGTAGAATGTCAAAGGAAGAAGTTAAATGTATGCTTGACAGCTAGAGAGGTGAGCTACTGCTAGTGGCAACAATAGGACTCGCTGCTTCTCTTGAGCTGAGAATTTTCAATCCTGTGAGCCTAAGCAAAGCCAGTTGGTTTTGCTGGTGATGGACTTGTCAAATGAAGGCTGAATAGAAGTGTTAGATCACAAGTAATGATTCCAGTGATCTCCGTGCTTCATACAGAGCTGCGAGCAAAGCCAGGGGATTGTAAATTCCTGCCAGAAAAGAAAGACAGGAGTACCCAGATTTTCTGATTATGGGAACATAACAAAAATTGCCTGGTGGTATTCCCAGGGACTGGCACAGCTCTGATATGAAGGAAGAATGGACATAGGGCTATCACTTCAGCTCAGACACGTTTGTACACGTTTGTACATAGCTCCCCTCCATCTGCTGGGGCGATACCTGTACTGCAGTCCAGGCAGGCAGCACATGTGCAGCCTTGGAGATGTGGCAAGCCTCTGGTTTGGGCTGAGAACAGCTACAATGCACTTGCAGATTTCATCTGCATGCAAGCAAGGCCAAGCATCTGGGACTTTAGGCTGAAGGCAGATCAGCCAGAGCCCCTGGGCAGTGCTAAAAGGAGAATGGCAGAGGAAAGCTCCTTGGGAATCTCCCTCCACAAAGCCTCTGCCTGGGGCTCGCTGGCTTTAAATCCTGTCGTAATGGTCAAGGTTCAAAATGAGAAGCCTGTGGTGACCGTAAACAGCTCTGCAGAGTCTAGGGTGCTACCAGCAGAAAACAAGACGGGACACAAGAGAAATGATACAGAGCTAAGTCTTTAGCACCTGACCCGTGTGGCATGGGTGCCATAATGCTGGTGCCATAATGGGTGGCATAATGGTAGCTCACCAATGAGCCTGAGAAAAGGCCAAAGAAGCAATGTGTCTGCTGATGATTTCTACTGTTTATATATAAACATGTTCAATGTTTATCTCTGGGGACAAGCGGCATTTCTTGATTGTTTTTTGAAATCGTCAACTCTACTGCACCACTAAGGTGATTATTTTCAGCTCATGCCTAAGTAACACACAGAAGCTGGTACATCAAGATAAGATCAATCACTACTGGATTCCAGAAGATATGGAAGACTAAATAATAGCACAATGATATTATACTTATGCAAAGCAGGAGTTTAACTTTCCAGCTTCTTCATGGCTGGTTTTAAAGTCAATTGAACATGGACTGCATGGATGTTGTCTATGCACATCCCATTAGGCACGCAAGTCATTGAAAGCCCTCTATTTAAGAAAGAACTTTGGAAGACAAGAGGGGGAAAAAAAAGTCTAAATAGATATGGCTTTGAATAATCACAACCAAATACACAGCCTTCAGAAAGGGGAGCCAATCCCCTGAAGCTTTTCCTTTTCCTCTGCAACAAAACATCTTTATGGGCAGGGAAAGAGCAGTATACATAACATCTTGCTTTAGCAAAGTTTTCCACTGAGGCTTTGCAACTCTTTTCTTTTTGTTCTATTTCAGCTTAACTTTGAGTGATGTTCTGATTTGGTTCTGGTTCAAATTCTACAACATTTCGTATCAAAAATTCTTTTTTGAGCCTGAGCACAGTTCATCTCCCTGCTTTTGACCATTTCACATAGTGTCCTCTTAAAAATCTAAGGAAGCTAAATTTGAGCAAAGTACTGCAAACTCTCGGAAAGATGGATGAAAAATTCATCAAAAAATAAGTCCTGAGAAAATAGTTATCCAATGGTTCTCAGTCAAACTGGGAGGATGCTGCAGATGGAGTAGCAAAGAGATCTGCTGTGGCTCTTAAAAAAGTCAACGTTTTAAGCTTGACTTTGACAATGGCTTGTGTCAGACCTGCAGAGGAGAAAGACTTCAAGCAGCCTGGCTTTTGGTCAAGTTTAAAATTCAAATGATCTTGACCTGGGGAAGGAATGGCCCAAGAGAATAGTGGGCAGAACCACACAGACCAGTGCAGACAATGGAGAGGTGGCAAGACAGATGAACAGAAGAAATATGACAATGACTAACTGGTCATGGTCATGCAGCTATCCTGCAGACGAGGATCTGAGACTAAAGGGGAGCACAAGATGGACACAAATTTAAGTTTCATTCTGCGAAGGGCAAACCTCAGCCTTGGGTATATGAATAAACCTTCTGGATGACTGGCTGGCTCTGCACAGGCCTTTGGGTGGAATGACCTGTCCAGTTTTGGACCCTGCATTTCCAAAAATATGTGGGGCAATTGGAGAAAGCCTGAAAAAGACAACCAAGAAAGAGCAGTGATTTAGAAACTCTGCCTATAAGCAAAGAGTGAAGAAACTGTGATTTAGTACAGCAGACTAAAGACAGCTGTTTGAAAACAATAGTTTTCTAATATGTAAAATGCAACTGCAAAAAGGGAGGATAAACTGATCCTGTTCACAGAGAGTAGGAAAAGTTATAATAGACTTGAACAGCTGCTAGGAAGACTCAAATGAGATATCAGAAAGCTTTATCTGTGTAAGACAGCAAAGCACTGGAGACCTTCAAAAATTGGTTGGACAAACATCCACAAGGAATGACATACGGATAGAAGGGAAGGGTCGTCTGCTCTAATCCCATGCCACAGGGCACGATTATTGCACATATTTGCTGTGATAAGGAGTGCTCTATTTGGAGAGGACATGGACAATGGGAAGTGGGAGGCCTATGAGACGAACTGACCAAAGAGAAAAGCAAATTGCAAATTCCTGAAATGCTAAAAAACTCAGAGGCCTGTGAAAGAGTTGGTGTGGTGCTGGGATGCTGTGGAATGAAGGGAGCAGCAAGGAGAGATAAGACACTTCTGGGAAGTTAAATTGGGTATTTATCCACCCATAGCACATGAGATGTCTGGAAGGTCCTTCTCCTGGACAGACTTCTTATTCCAGGTAGTTGCAATGAAGAACTGCTGTAGTCCAGGGTGCTCTGATGAGCTGCTGCATTAAGGAGCAATGAGTCACTGGGCCTAGCTAAGTCACACCCCAAAACATGGAAAGAATTTGGGAATGAAGCAATCGAGTACTCAGCAGAAGACACAATCTCTCATTAAAAACTGTTCTGACATGGTAGCAGCAAAGAGTAGCAAAAGTTTTTGAGCAGATTTTGAAAACAGGAAGTACTGGGAATTACAGAGCCCTTCCTGGGGCTCTGGAACCAAGGAAACTGGCTAAACCAGGACTGAAGCAGCAAGCCCTGAGGACACTGGAGGTGCTGAGACCCTGCAGGAAGTATCTCACCAGCTGTCTGTATTTCATCACTGTTACCAGCACAGAAGTGATGACTAGATAACTAGATAGCTTTGGAAAAGTTGTCACTAACAGCCGCCACGACTATACTGTAAACACATCACAGGATTGGAGAGATTTTACTTTTTGTCATAGGTCAGAAAATGACCACCAAGCAAGAGGAAAAAAAAAA